TCCTAATCCGAGAGGCCTTCTCTGACCACCTTTCTAAAGCAGTGGTCCCCAGCCTTTTTGGCATCATGGACGGGGGCTCCTACAATAACATAATGCCTGATGATCTGAGATGATGCTGAGGCGGTGATGCTAGCGCTGGGGAGCGGCTGCAAATACAGATGAAGCTTCTTCGCTTGCTTACCCGCCACTTAACCTGCTGTGCAGCCCGGTTCCTAACAGGCCACAGACTGGTTCTGGGCCACAGCCCCGGTGTTGGGGACCCCTGTTTTAAAATGTCATCATCTGCTATGCACTAACTATCTTCCTTAGTTCACTTTGGTTTTCTTCTTGAAACTTGTCAGTAATCGACACATATTTATTTCTTTATCCGTGTACTTGTCTTTCTTCCCCCACTGAATTATAATCTCACCAAGGGTATGGAATTTGCTCACTGCTGTGTCCGCAGAGCCCTGAATGCACCTCGAGCACTGCTGTCCAGTAGAACTTTCTGCACTCTTAGAAATGCTCTACGTTTGTACATTAGCCAGTGGTCACATGTGGCTCTCAAACCCTTGAGACTGAGGAATGTGATTTTAAGTCTGATTTATTTTTTATTTTTTGTTTTTTTTTTAGGCGAGGCAACTCTTGGTTGACCTCACAGATTGCAAGGACCTTGTTAGCTTGTAATTCCTTATTTTTTTATTTTTTCTACCTCACAGATTGCAAGGACCTTGTTAGCTTATAATTCCTTATTTTTTATTTTTTGCACCTACCACACCTGATCTTCCTAGGTGGTCTCCCATCCAAGTACTCACCAGTCTCGATCCTGCTTAGCTTTTGAGATCAGATGGGGTCAGGCTTATTCAGGGTAGCATGGCCGTAGACGTAAGTCTGATTTAATATTAATTGATTGAACAATGGCCATGTATTGGAGAGCACAGGCCTAGGGCAAAAGCAGCACTTAGTGAATGTTTCTTGAGTGAATGCTGAACAGTCATGAACCTCTTTTGCCTGTTTCTGCATCTGTGACATGAGCATAAGCTCACACCTCTTGGGTTGTCATGAGGATTAAATTCGAATGGCGCCTGCATGTAGTGAGTGCTGTATAAATGCCAGGGATTGGTTAGTCTCTACCATGAAGCTTATAGTTGTGGGTGAAGGGACAGAGAGAATGACTCGATTCTTACCTGTATGCATATTGTCCTCTGTCCCCTGTCCTGGCATCTCTTATCACCTCTCAGTTGCTGAGAGGAAAGGCCTTTCCTGGCATTTGCTGGCCTTGGTGGAGGTCAGGCCCTGGGAAGCACTGTCCTCTCTACCCTGCCTCCGCCTCCTCAGTCTCCCCTGCTGCTGCTCTTATGCAAGCCTCAAAGGGGCCCCTCAGTCCCCAGCCTGCTAGGTTCTCCAACTCTGAAAAGCCCTAGAAAAACTCTTTAGCCGGATCTTATCAGCTTTGACACGGGCTGGCCACATAAACTCATTTTCGTCAGCTTCAAAGGCTGAGAAGTATTGCAGTTTGGCCGCAAGGCCAGCATAAGCCTCAGTACCAGGACTCAGCAGTTTAGAGGCCGTGAGGGCAGAGCACTTACCTCAGAAAGAACCGGAAACATCACGGGCCCCGGCCCTTTTGCTCAGTCCTCATCCCCCACACCAGCCCTCGGAGAGGCGTCTCCATGTTGAAATCGTTTCTTCCCTTTGAACCCGTGGAAGTTAACAAAATAAATGAAAAAGGGAAGAATAAATTGAGAGTTTTCTTCACTACTCAGAGTAAATTGGTTTTCCATAGCCATGGTGCCGTGGACATTTTGGGCTGGATAATTCTCCGAGGGCTGTTCTTGGCATTTTGGGATGTTTAGCAGCATCCCTGGTCTCTATCTGCTAGATGCCAGTCTCCAGACACAGCCAAGTGTTCCCAGGGTAGGCAAAGTCACCCCTGCTGGAGAATCTCTAGGCTGGAGAGAGGAGCCTTAGAGCCATCTACTCTTGCCCCTTAATGCTTTAGGTGAGAGGAGTGTCCTGGGTTGGGACAGAAGTAACCCAGGTCACACGGTGAGTGAGGTGTGGAATCTGGGTCAGGACTCCCTGCTCAGTGCTACGTGTGGTCCCTGTCCCCCCAACCTCAGTCCCAGAGAGCCCGGAAACCCTTGGATCCTGAGCTCTTCAAGCGGGGAAATTGGGACTGTCCCCTGCCTGCTCACGTGCACTTCCTCCTCTCCGCAGAGACCGTGATTACCACCTGAAGACCTACAAGTCGGTGCTGCCTGCGAGCAAGCTGGTGGACTGGCTGCTGGCTCAGGTGCGAACTCCCTCCAGGCTGTCGTCTCGCTCTCTCCAGGGCCGAGGGCTGAGATGTGGGCCTTTGAGGTTTTTCTCTTTGTTAACGTTTTGTTATTTTTCACTTGTAGTGGAATACGCATAGCAGTACCATCTTAACCATTTTTGAGGGCAGGGTTCAGTGGCATTAAATACTTTCATGTTGTCATGTGGCCATCCCCACCATCCGTCTCCAGAGCTCTTTTCATCTTGCAAAATGAAAACTCTGAACCTGTTAAACACTAACTCCCCATTCCTCCCTCCCCCAGCTCCTGGCAGCCACCCTTCTACTTTATCTCTGTGAATTTGGCTGCACTAGGCACATCTCAGTGGAATCATACAGCATTTGTCTTTTGTGCCTGGCTGATTTCACTTAGCATAGTGCCCTCAGGGTTGATCCGTGTTGTAGCATGGGCCAGAATTTCCTTCTTCTTTAAGACTGAATAATATTTCATTGGACCGATAGACGACATTTTATTTATTAATTCACCAGTCAACGGACACTTGGGTTGCCACCACCTTGAGGCTTTCCGTTGTAAAACTGGGACAGTCCTCGGCAGACTGGGGCAAGTTGGTCTCATTCTGGCGCCACTCTGGAGCCTCCATGTGGAGCTCGCCAAGTTATTCCTTTCACATAGTTCCCAGTGGGCAGAGGCTGGGCGGAGGCTGGAAAATCTATTTGTTAATTTTGCTGCAGCTTCTCAAAGGTGTTTTTTTCCATCAGGGTGCGGGGGACACTCCTGTCTGCCTGGCTCTTGTCCTTTATGGCTCCTGTTCGTGGGGTGCTTGCTCTGGGCCAGGCGCTGGCAGGGCTTTGTGCGTTATCTCAGTGAGTCCTCCAGCCCATTTACAGATGGGGGAACTGGGGCCCAGAGAGGCCGAGTGCCTGGTCCAGGGGACACAGCCTCGCAGCAGCAAAGCTGGGACTCAGAAGGGCCTGTCTCACCTGCTTGTCCCTCCGTTCCGCAGACTTTTCAGGGAGCCTGCAAGAATGTTCATGTGTAGGCTGTGAAAAGAACGTATTGGCTCCAAAGATGAGGAGGCAGCTGCAGAATCAAAGTGGATAAGTGTTTAAACATTTACAGCTTTATGTCAGCCTCATTCATTGTTAAATTTGGTGTTCATAAAAACCTCCTTCCATTTGAAAACAATTTGCTGGTTGGATTTTCTCATGTTGCATAAATTCCTGATGATTGTCTAGAGATCATAGCAAATCTGTAAAGTAATTGTTTCTTGGTGTCAAATAACTTCGAAAACAAGTTTAGAAAAATCCTTGAAAAAAAAAATTTCAAGCCAAAACATATTTAGTGTAGGATGTGGGTACATTTTGTTCTGTTTGCTATGATCTGGGACCCTAAGGCCTGAAGATGTCTTGAAATGACCCTGGGTTCGAATTCAGATTTGCACGTCTGGGAAGCGCAAAGCACCTAACCACTGCGCGACACTGCCCTCTCCTTAGGATCCCCTGAAACCAGCCGAGAGCTTTACTTACAGCCAGGCAGACCTCTGTTCAAATCCTAGCTCTGCCACTTCTTAGCTGAGTGGTCTTGGACAAGCTGTTTAATCTCTCTGTGCCTCAGTTTCCACACCTGTAAAAAGCTAAAAACAATATCTTCCCCTTTAGATTTTGAGGATGCAATGAGTTAATCACTTACAGTGCTTAGAAGGAAGGGCACCTAGCACACAGTAAAAGCTCGGTAAATGTAACTATTACTATAATTCCTTCTCTCCTTCACAATGGATTCAGGGGGCTCAAAAATTCAGGCAGTAAGGAAGGCGGAGGAAATTGCGGAGGGATTCGGGGGTGCAGGAATGGTAAGACCAGGAAAGCAACAGCCAGGGGGTGGGGAGGGCACCATCTGCACAGTCCTGCCTTCTGAATTTGCTGCAGCGACAAGTGAGGGGTGACATGTGGTGTTTTCTTTCGTGGTTTAGGTTCTTTGGTCAAAGCCCAGACAGGCCTGGGTTCAGGGCTCTCTGACGCGGCCTTTCTCACCGCTTCGGACCTTTCTGTGGCCTGAGGTGCATATTGCCTTAAGTGATGAATCCCAGGCACGGGCCGGGGGTGGGGCGGGTCACTGAGATGGCGAGAAGTCAGTGGATCCGAGACTGGAGATGGAGGGCACAGGATGCATTGCTGTGGGGTGGGAATCAAGGACGAGTCTGGGGGTTTGGGTGCGACGGGTGGCTGGTAGTATCATTTACCGCGACGGGATGATGGGGGAGGAAAAAAAGTTCCTGCCCTCATGAATCTTGAATTCTGGTAAGAGGCTGGGGAGACATTTAATAAACAAGAACAAGAAGTAAAGTATATGACATGTTAGCCGGTGCTAGGTGCCAGCATGGTGGTGGGGACAGAGCACGTGGGAGCTGCAGGGGAATTCACCCTTCAAACGGGTGGGGTGGTGCAGTTTTCACAGTGGCTCAGAGAAGGCGGTAATGAGCAGGAACATTTGAACAGAGACCAGAGGGAGGAGGGGAGCGAGCAAGGGGGACGTCTAGGAATGGAGCCTTCTCTGACGGGACAGGAACCCAGAGGCTCGGTGTGCGGTGAGCTTGGTGTGTCCGAGAGCAGTGAGGAGGCCAGAGCAGCTGGCGAGGCGTGCGTGGTGGTGGTGAGTGGCCAGTCACATGGGGCCTCGTAGGCCATTGGAGGGCTCCGGCCATTGCATGGCTCTGAGCACAGGACGGACGGCATCTGACTTTGGTCAGGTGAGACCCCTCTGACTGGACGTGAAGCATGGGCTGTACAGGGACAAGGCTGGCAGGAGGAGTCTGGCAAGGAGGCAACTTCAGAACTCCAGGCGGGGTGCATGGTGCCTGAGAACTGGGTAGCAGCAGGGAAGGTGGGAGAAGTGGTCAGATTCTGGATTTTTTTGAAGATAGACCCAGCAGAGTTTGCCAGTGGTTGGATGGGATGTGGGAGGTGAGAGATAGGGGTCTGGGATGCCTCCAAGGTCTTGGCTGAGCTGGGGAGGCTCAGGACTGTGTCCCGGAGCACTCAGTAAGGAGAAGGAACCAGCGAAAGCATCCTCAGCATTGGTTTCTCTTTGGTGATTGGTGTTTGGCATGGCGGTGGCCAGTGCTGTCAGGGAAGCCGTGGTCCTGGCTGAAGGCCCCCTGGAGTAGTAGCCTGAGTCATGGTCAGATGTTCCTGAGGATACTCCCCACACAGCATCCTGTCGCAAGTGGAGGCCGGGGGAGGATGGCGGAGTGAAGGATGCAGCTGACCACGAAACGCATCTACCCACTTCAGCAGACCTCCATGGCTTGGCTCTGTCTGGGGACACGGTGAAGCTAATTGGAGCTGACACAGGAGGAAGACTTCCGAGAGGTTGACTGAGAGACAGCTGGCATCCGGCTCTGGGTCAGGGAAAGGGGAGGGGGGTGTGGGTGTGGGTTTTTCTTGATGGAGGGAGGTTGGCAATGTGATTGTGACCTTGAAGACTGGTTACAGCGAGTCTTCCCCACCTTGTACCTTAGCCGGACAGTCAAGAAGAAAAGATAATTTTGTAGTTCGGAAGGATTCTGTTGCTTCGAACACATCTTCATTTCTAACTTCTAGGTCATTTTGCTCCTTGAAATAAAATGTGGATTGAAACCCACTGGATCAGCTAGAAATGCTTTTGGCTGCACATAGTAGGAAACCTGACTTAGGCAGTAAAGAATTTTTTTTCTCACATAATAGAAAATCTAAATTATACAGTAAGGACATTTTCCTCTCACATAACTAGACATCCAGAGTTCACAGTCCTAGGGCTCAGCAATGCTACTTACACCCAGGCTCTTTCCAGCTTCCTGTTCTGCTGTTTGCCTCATAGTCGTAAGATGGCTGCCACAGCTCCAGGCATCACATTTATGTAGAACCGAAGCCAAAGGCAGGCAGCAGGGACAGTAGGACAGAGCTTTCTCATTTTGTTTATTGGGGGAGAAAATTTCCCCCAGTCTCTCCCCTTCCCCAGTGGCTTCCCTTTAGGTCTCATGGGCCAGATGGGTTCCTCAGGTACCCTTAAATCACTCCCTGAAGAAGAGAACAGAGATTGCTGAGAGTGGCTTAGCATTCTGCAGAATTCATCCCGTGAGGATGGGAGAGGGGCTCCCTCCCCACTACTTGGACTAATCAAATTTCTTTGAACTCTGAGGATAAGGTGGGTCTTAGCCCTTTGATAGACAAGCTATGCTCTGTGTGAGTTCTGATCCCCTCTGTGTATTATCTCCATTTTACCGATGAGGAAACTGAGGCTCAGGTTA